ACTTGGAAAGGGACGAAAAACGAGTGTTTAAACATGAAAGGACGTTGCGTAGAGGTAAGGATTTAACGTTTATCGTAACGCGTATTAATGGCGGTTCAGGGCAACAGAAATGCGTAGCGAGGAAAATTACAGTAATTCTGATATGTTACTGCGAAAATTATAAGAGTAACGACAATCTCTAATAATCACTATCATCAAGGGGTTAAAACTGTCATATAATAACCTATGAAAGCTGCCTGTAACACGTATTAATGGGAGTTAAAGGTAATAGCGAACCGTAAAACTGAGAGCTAACAGCAATGCATAGAAATCGAGGTTAAAGATACTTATAGTGTATGCAAATTAGGGCAAAGATAACCGTGACGCGTATCGATTAATAATAATTAACAACAATATTTAATTACTCTATCGCAATAATTCCGATATAGACACCATCAGAAACAACTCTAACTCACCCTGTTTCTTTAAATTTACTTAAATGTAGCAAGAATAATTATCGATGATGTAGCGTGACATAATAGCGATGAGAAGTAATTAATAACAATGTTTAAATGTTTAATTATAATCACTAATTGTAGCATTGGATCGAAGATAACTAACGAGCACCTTTCTTTTTTCAATTTACTTACGTAAATTTAATACGAAAAATTAGAAGTTAACCTATTGTTGTCAACGGTGTCTTGAAACGTTAAAACACACGGAGTAGCGTCCACCGCGTGTACAAAGTTACGCGCACAAACACACAGCAGTGTACAGTGAGACTGGAACGCAATGGTGACACATGGCGGTCACAGTTGAACAAACTAACAATCGTCGAACGCGATAAATCATTTTCCACGGGACGATGTTACCGAAACGACAGACGGAACACAACTAACCTGCTCTTGATGCCCGATACGAGGCGCGTTTCGTTCCGTAGGTCACGGTCGCTTTGAAGCACAACAAATACACTCGTTTATATACCGTTTCCAGTGTGGCGTATTCGCGATGACGATATACGTCTCCTGGGATATTTATAACAATTAAAAATTATTTTTGCGATGGAAAGAAATAGCAGAAGAGAGAGAGAGAGAGCGATTTTATCGATAAAGCAAGGGTTGAATATTACGGTGGAATTTAATTCGGGGAATAATTAGGTGAAAGATATGCGACTCGTGGGATATTTATAATAATTAAAAATTAGTTTTACAATGGAGAGAAAGAGATAATAGAAAGAGACGCATTGACTTTATCGACGAAGCAAAGGGTTGAATATTAGCGTAGAATTGAATTCGTTGAATAATTAGCTGAAAGGAAATTTCACGATATTTCTATAACAGAATTGTTACAATTTGTGAAGTATGAAATTTAATACGGGAAACAGTGCGAAAGTTAGTTTTCACTTTCGAATAATTTCAACTTCTTTTTTTCCCGCTCCTTCAAAGCGAGTTAAATGTAACGCATTCATTTTGCAGTTCGATATTATTATTCCAGGATAATGGAATTACGTCGGTAATAATATGCAATGAATTTAGATGGTAGACATGATTTATTGAAATTATGCGAATTTCTATTATGTTCACGTGGGATATTAAACGTATCAAATGGGGAAATTGTTTATGATATGGCATCGTTTATGGCCGAGTTTTGAATGTAGAATCGATACGTTTGCATAGAAGAAGAGGAGAGTCATGCATGATTTATGGCTGTGTTCTCGGTACCACGGAGAGGCGTCGAAGAAATCCGATGTAATCTCTCTTTCGCGTCGAGCGAGCTTGGAAGTCGCGTATGAATGTTTCAGAGACGATGTTCACTCTCTTTCGGGGCTTCTTCGACGAATGCTCTGCCGAAATTTGCGTATGTTCCTTTGAAAGTGTATACATTCGCCTTTTCACCCCCTGTTGATTCTTGTAACATTTATTTCACCGTATCTAAGCCTCATTTTTCAACGTTAAATCAATTGCTCTTGTACAAGAACATGTTTCCTAGGTAATCAAATTTTCGTCCTTGCTATTTTTAAAATTTTTTTTAAAGAATGATATATGTATCATTTGCAACTGAATCTTTTTTACGTTGTAAAATTGTTTCTTCGAGTAATTTCTTAGAGAAATCCATTATAAGTTTTCAATGTGACATCGTAAGTGACAAAGTTAGCGAAATTTTCATAAATTTGTAAATAAGAATAATAAATCTGTAAGAAATAATATAAATGTTAACCTTCTTGGAATGTGGAAAAAATATATAGGATCGAAAATGGCATTTTTCTATCTCAAAAATGACACTCTAAATCAACCTAATCTAACTGAACTCTATAATAGCCTTCAAATCTTTCTCGACCAATTTTTCACATTTTTCTCCAAACGAAGCCATATCTCTTATACATTTTATGTGAGAAATTTAGGTTACAGATCGTCATTCTCATTCCCTCGCGAATCCAGCACAGCCAATTTTTCCATTATCCATAAAATTGCCTCGTTTCCCATAAAACTTACGGAATATTCCCAACATCCAGAAACCAATAAACCCATACCACAATTAACACAAATCAGCTAACAGACCAACTATATGAAGTGACTCCAACCGATTTCTCCATTATCCACAAAATTCCTTTATTTTCCCCAAAGCTCGAGAAATATTCCAACATACCATTTCCACATGCAATGTGTTAAAAAAAAGGCGCTACTATTTTTCATCACAAAATTGTATTATTACATATTACCTTCGGTGAAATCTCCAAAATGCGAAATTCTACCGAATCACAACTGTTCCTCTCTAGAACCAGCGGCCGTAGCCGTGCATGTCTACCGATTCCCGTTCGATCACCGAAGTCAAGATGCACTGGGCGGCGTTCCGTAAGAAGATGGGTAACCGCTCCACATCCGTCTCTGGAAAAGCCGTGCTGCTAGTTTTATCGGGCTGAAATTTCACACAGACGTTAGTTCCATCCTTACTAACGTCTAGAAATTGTAAAAGTCCAACAGCAAAAATCCTTACCGCCAAAGTTGGGGTTCAAGCATGGTCGGGTGCCTCGCTCATTCTCCGGCTTGTTCTTCGTTTGGTGGTTTCGATGGAGAAATTGTAAAAGTCCAACAGCAAAAATCCTTACCGCCAAGTTGGGGTTCAAGCATGGTCGGGTGCCTCGCTCATTCTGCGGCTTGTTCTTCGTTTGGTGGTTTCGATGAAAAGTGGAAACCTGGTCTGATAGGGGTATAAGCTGAGGCACCCTGAGTCCTTCTAAGGACGCGACCCACAACTAGTTGTTCCTCTCTAGAATAAAGGAAACTCGAGTTATAGAGGGTAAATGTAAATGAACTGTCAGACGAGGAATATACGAGGTGACTCGACAACATCTTAGAACAAACATCGAGCCGCGCCGATTGTGAATTAACAAAGCTAATCGAGATCCATCGCGATCGTAGAACGGCTTGCTAATTGGCATCTCAAGTGGTCGCAAGGCCGCGGCGTACCGATGGAGATGTCGACCGATCGAAGGACAGTTATTTCAGCGTTCGCGGCCAGGCACACACCGGCTTCTACGTGCGTGCTTCTGCGAACTGGTTTTCTCGGTAGCTTTGATAATGCGACAGCCGTGGCTCGTTTTGCCGAGAATTATCGCGGCTCTGCTCTCTACCCCGTACGTTTCTTCGCCATATACGCCGGCCTAGCGTCCTTCGGATTATAATAAAATATTAACCGGCCAGGATCAC